CACAGTCTTCAATATTTACGGTAGAGAGACAGCTTACATGTAACTAAACCAGTCCCGTAACTATACTGTCAGCTTTCTTGTGCATCCAGTTCAGGCAGAACATAATTCGAAACAAATTTCAGACAGGGGGAATTGAGGGTGAAAGGAGGCGATTCCGTAATCCTTGAAAAAAGGGGGGCTAATTTAATCGGAGAATGTTGCGTAGAGTAAAGTAAACATGCTCCACTGCCCAATGGCCCGATGGCAGCCATGTTACCCAACGGACAAACAAATTACTCCACAATTTACAAGATTTCGTCGTCTTGCCCAGAAACTGACGAGTCTGGCTAGGTAATTCTGTTTTCCCCTTGTACCGGTCCCCTCCTTTCTTTTTTTTCCTTTTTTTTTTGGCCGTGGCCGACAAAATGCCCATCCAAACGGAAGCTAAAGTGTACATATACAGCCCAATCAATGTATTGATTGTTGTAAATCTGTTCATTGGGCGTACGTGTATTGGATTCTGCCTCGCGCAGTGTACGCTACAGGAACGCACTGCACTACTCAGCAACGATGGTTTTTGAGACTTGGTGCCTGTTGGCATGGATGGCTCAGTCACGACGAGCGCTGAGAAGAACAAACCCACGTGGATTCCTGCGCTCTTGTGTGGTTTTTTTTTTTTTTCCGTCAATGAAAAAGCCGTTAAATCGATTGGGAGAGCCAGACTTTTGATTTGCTACATCTGAAACGCCTGTCACTTACAGCTGAAGACACTCATACAAATGGAGTCGATTACTTAATTGATTGGACTCATTTGTTTCATTTTGGGGCATTTGCTTTTGACACCCAAATCATCTTAACAAACACAATTTACAACGATTTTTCTTTTATTGGAGATTGTCTGCACTGCGTGTCATAAATGTTGAAGCAAATTTGAAGAGATGCGTAGCCTATGTTTGTTAGAAAATAGACCTCTTTTACATGTTGACCATATTAGCTACAGAAAGCCAGCATTGTTTAACGACAAAAAATTGAAGCACTGAAGTTTTGTTTTTGAATTTACTCATAAAGTTCCAATATAACTCCCTTTTTAAAACTGTGCACATGTTGTTTTTGCCCTTATATTCCCACCGGAAAAGGAATGGCAAATTTACCTTGTTTTGGATAATTTCTCGGCAGAGTTATTATTACTGAGAAAAGTCTGGTGACTCGGGTCATAAATTCATTAAAATGTTGATCATAAAAATGTTTATCATAAAATGTTGATTTAAAGGCTTATTTAAAAATAAAAATTCCACCTTTTCTTCTTTATTTAAGAGGAATTTTTTTTTGTTTATCAGATTATAAATCTATTCCATCTTATAAATCTTTGTTTTCTTTATTTTAAACTACCTGCACAACAATCAACAGTTTTTATTTCTTTCTTGTCTGACTTATAACAATCCTCAGGATTCTAGAACACTCAGCTTGTCCGTGCTACTCCGAGCCTGAATTTAATTACCACCGCCCAGCGTGTGACTTGTAACACTAATTACAATTTCTGGGCTAAACTCTCCGACCCGCGATAAATGACTCGCTGTTTTCCCCCCCTCTTGTAGAACCCATATTGACATCTATCAAACAAACATGCACACACAACGCTGTCGTACCTTTGCTAATTATGACGCCGGGTCATTTATGCTCTTGTGTTTGCTCACCCGTCAAAACAACCTCTCCGTCCCGCAGAATCAGAAAGAAAACAAACTCCAGCCAGCCAAAGAAAGAAAGAAAAAGGAAAAAAAACGACAAGGCATGCTTTTCATTCACCAACTCCTAATGTACGCACAACTCACTCTGTCTCGGTCTTAATACAGTGGTGCAGAGGGCCGTGGAATAACACAAACGGTGCGGCCGGGGGTTTACCTAGCGAGCCCGGGATACCGGGCGGCCTCGGTAAATACCGTCGCTCGTTTTGCGGCGAGCGGAGGACTACACACCGTGAAGAGGCCCGGAGTATTTGCTTGCAATTTGTCGGAGGGGGAAGACCTCGACGAGATTGTGTGCTCTGCGTCGCGGCCTTGCCGCTGAAGTGCAGTGACGGGAATCCTTGTGAAATGATCACGAGAGCTTCGTGTACCAAATGAAAGACATAAAAATATCTTTAAAAAGAAAAGAATTATCATCATTGAGAGATTCTTGACGTCACTCTTTCACATCAAATGTGAAATTTGTCATGGCCTCGACAGTAGATTTGAAATGCACAAGTAGCAAATTCTTGAAGGTTTCATGTACCGGTACATGAAGTACTATTATTATTTGTATTATTATTTTTATTATTATAAAGTCAAAATTTAATGTTTGTGGGGCCATGAATAATTTTCTTTTTTAATTGAATACATACTGTGGATTTTTAGGGTATGGTTCGTGTAGAATGATTATAAAAAATATTGAGTAGTGTTTTCACTAGCACTTGCCTTATGTAAATCATCCATAACTACAAATTTGTATATTTAAGCTTTCTGCATTGTATACTACGTGTATGATACCTTGTTCATGCACTTGGTACAATGTAGATCGTTAGTTGGTAAACAAACAAAACAGCAGAGGAAACTCGGAAAGGGCTGGAATTCTTCTCGTTTTGTTTTTGTCTGGAACTCTAATCACTATACAGGGTGAGTCAAAAAAAGTGAAACCCAAATGTCGGGACTATTGTTTTAGTGAAGTTCTGCCTGTGGCACTTTCAAAATCTAGGATATGAAAGCCCAATTCAATTTAAGCTTTCTTTTAGTATAAGAATCATTCCAATCACTCATGTACTTTTCAAGTCACGGAATTTTAAACATAACCACCGTTTTAAAGTTCTGTCCACGGATCACAAAAAAGGTGTGTGTTCTTGCAGCAAAATGAAAACAATTCACAGACATCCCTATGTGATTTGTTTTCGTTTTGCTGAACATGTACCGGTACATGTACATGTACCTTCTTGTGATCCGTGGACAGAACTTTAAAACGGTGGTTATGTTTAAAATTCCGTAACTTAAAAAAGTACACAAGTGATTTGAATGATTCTTGTACTAAAAGAAAGCTTATGAATTAGGCTTTCATATCTTAGATTTTGAAAGTGCTACATGCAGAACTTCACTAAAACAATGGTTCTGACATTTGGGTGCCGCTTTTTTTTTACTCACCCTGGATATATATGCACAGAAGGCTATTATAAAATGTCACAGCAAAAATGTTCTCCATCGCAATTTGCTGATTATCACTAGTACACTAGTTGGCTCACGGTGTAAATGCTAAATTTAATCTATCGGCACAATTGGTAGATGGCAAGGATCATTGGGCATTCAATTTTTTTAATGTAATTTTAATGAAATTTTTACGAGTCATTAGAGTTCCATAAAGACCACATGTATGTCTAAAAGTAACTTGCATAAATTTGTCGACGCAGACTACCCCGATTCATTCCCAAACTGTTAATTATAAATTATGCATTAGGATTTACACCAAAAAAAGCAGAAACCTTCCGCAGCTGCGATAATACGCAATTGCATGGAGATTATTATTTTATATGCAAGACATCTATCGCCATTCACGAATTTAGTTTCGTTTTTGGGAAAAAAAGAGAGAAAAAAAACAAAACAAAAAACACGGCAGCATCTGTTGCGGCCATTAAGGCTGAATCACCTGGCTATTTCCCATCATTCCCGGCGTCATCCCAAGCCCTTCACAGCTTTTGTTTTGTGGATTTTTTTTTCTTCATTTTTTCGTCGGCGCCGGCTATTGTTATACAGGAAATCAGCACTCGGGTGCCAAAAATTATTTCTGTGCAAATATTTTTGTTAACATTTTTCAAGGACATCTTTCCTATAAGTGAAAATTTTTCCCCCTGCTGCAAATTATGCATTGAATTTTGGTATTAAAAACCAACAGGCTCTTTTGAAGTGTATACAACAGGTGCTGTCTCTAGAATAAGATGGCTTTTGTTCGGCGTAATTAAAGAGCAGCATCTGCAGATCATTCTGGCTTCCAAATTACCCTCCATGTGACCATTTTCTATGTCATGTTGCTGCCGCAGCACAATATCTAATGATATTTTGTGCAATAGCATTAGGGATGTGATATTTACACGTTTAAACGTTTAAACGAAAGCACTTCCAAATCCATTTACAAATTTTCCAAAACGATTAAACCTGTCCCGGATTATAAAAAGGGGCCTACATTCATGCGATGTTAGTTTGAGTTTAAACATACATAGCGCAAATCATTAACGATGTTTTCAAAGCTTTTTCATTTACCAAATCTTATAAGCACTGCAGTACTTGATTATTAGGGATAGACTTAGGTCTGGTTAAGTTTTTGAAAAACTTACTTGCTTTTTTAATGACTGCCATTGTTGATTTATTATGTCAATCATGCCTGTATGCAGACATTTAATGAGCAGGCATCAGCCGTGTGAATGTTTAAACGTTTAAACAGTTCTAAAAATATTTGCCAAACATTTACAAAATTAAACGCAAAGTCACATCCTTAAAAAGCATGGATTAAGGGCATGTAAGACCATGGTAAGACCAAGAAAACAAATGTGTTTCCTATAACCCACCCAACCTAAAAATCATGCAGAACCTAAAATATTGTTCTTTAAAAAAATAAAAATATAAAAAAATAGCCTTTTTTGCAATTTTAACGCGCATGCGCACATCATGATTCACTATTTAGTTTTGAGAGACAAATTGTTCGCCACATGCGTGCAAAATCATAGCGCGGTACCAACGAAATCAAAACAAGTTTTGAAGTAAATGCAAAATGTTTTTTTTTCTCATGCTTTAAGATGTTTTGTATAAGTGTCCATCTTCTTTTTGATTAGATGAAAAATTGCAGTCCCCCTAGACTTGCATCCATCTATCTGCTTTGTTTATCTCCCAAAAGTAAATCTGATGTGAGCAGTTGAAATAGCGAAAAAGGCTTATTAAAAACTTACGGTGACGCCCCGCCCTAGTCTTTTTGTGTTGTTCTGCATTTTTTTTAAAATTTGTTTTTGATTTTGTGGTTATTTAACAGCGCAGCCTTGCCGCACCGTGCAGCGAAGGCTATCTATAAGCGGCGCAGCAAATACCGAATGTAAGTTGATTCACTTGTTAATTGTTACAAATACATGCCCAAAAAATTACTGAAATTCATTGATCATCATCAATCACCCATCCGACATTTCTGTTCTTTCTAATTCAGAGCCAAACAAAAAAATAAAATAGGGAAATGCAATTTGTTTTTCTTGGCCTAATTAGTGGGGCTGGTAGGGCAAAGGAAAGATTCCCAAATCTGGCCATCACTTGTCACCCTGCACAAACTAGTATGAAACTGGTCTGAAAATTTCTAAGTGTTTTCTCAGTAAATACTTCAATATTTTCCCTGCTAAATTTGACTTTTTTAGGACATATCACTTTCTGATGGCTGATAGGTCACTGAAGGGAAACATTTAGTGATGGCCAGGAAGGGGGGGGGGATCTTTCCAGGGGAAATATTTGGGGGAGTTGTGCCTTTGATGATACAAGCATGGCATTTGGCACACAGTCAGAGTATGTCTTAAGAAAGATATTTGGCTGTAGGGCCATCGCAGATTTGATAACAAGCAATAAAAAAAAATCAGTATGGCTGCCATTACTTAGAATAACCCCTATGGTAGCAGACCAGTAAATAAACTTCCATAGACCCCAATGGTAAATGCTCCCACTTCAAAAATTCGGGAAAAATACTTACAACTCTCCAAGGTGTTCGAGACACACATCAAATTAAAGTTTATTTCATCATCTTTCATTTTCTTTTCAATTTTTGGGGGGTCAACTGATGACTTTTAGGAGAAATTTCCATCACCCCAAGATGATCACCCCTGAAGATGATCACCCGAAAATAGTCCTGAAGCCCATCGCCATTTTGAAAAACGATGCCTACACTCCATTGCAAAATAGAGCGCTTTTAGGGTCCAAATTACATCCAAATTACACAGAACTGCAAGCTCCCAGTCCTGTGCACGGCTTCCACCCCTATTTTTTTACAAACGCTCAAGTTCATGGCCCACAGCATGCTCAAATACTGAAGATTTTGAGGGCATGCAAATCGTGATTTGGCCGACGTAGGCAATTTCGGATCGATTTACTGGTCTGCACCCCTATAATTTTTCAAAGGACGAATCTGCAATGGCTCTATCTACCAAATATCTTTCTCATTGAATGCTCCGACTGTGTGCCAAATGCCATGCTGTTATCAACAAAGGCACAATGCCATCCTATCTGCCATACTAAATGGTTTCAGTTTGTGCTCATGCAGCAAGAGAGGATAAGTGAAAAGAAGCTATTTCTAAACTCGTGGTGTGGAGACTCTCAATACTGGGCATTGTGGTTTTCTCTCAAGCACTCCCACATCATGTCAGTTATTGTCACTGGCTTGTCTGTACACTCTCATGGTGGTTAACAAACACTGAAAAAAAGAAACTCGCCTTGTAGTTGTACCTCAGAGCTGTGTACTCCCATTCATGCAGTTACCTGAGCATGCTCCTAAAGCCTTTTATTGTCTGCTCCTTGCTGGAGTGAAAAACCACAAGATAAGGTAGCCCCTACAGTGGCTTAATACTTTAATCTGATTAATCCTTTACAATGATCCCCTGATGAAGGTATAGGATTATGGTTGCCAGGGCTAGGTGTGGACTAAGCTGGTGATCTCCGCTTTCCGGCATGTGAAAGTTGCCTGAAAAATCTACCCAACTAAATAGAAAGAGTTCCACAGTTGGTTGCTTGTGATTTTTAAGAAGACATTGTGAGCGTTTGTCAACCAATTAGGTTTTTCTATTTTCGTCAGGTGATCACCAGTGTAGGGCTGCATGTATACAGCTCAGTTGGTAGAGCACCGATACAGCGTTCCATAAATCAAAGGTTCATACCCACTCTAGTCAATTTCTTTGTTTGACCTTCAACCTTACATCGATTAAAGGTGAACCTCTTAATTATCGCACTACGTTTTTTTATTCAATGACTTTTTCATTCGTGTATTGAAGGTCGAAACACTGTGATAGAACTGTTATGCAACAAAAATCTAGCTGTTGATGAGGTCTGAGTAGAACATAGGTTCTCCTTGATCAAAAGCTCTGCAGCAAGATTTCCTCTTAAAAACCTCCCAAGGCCAACAAGGGGGAAGTGTAGACCATTATCATGTTGCGGCCATCTTGATTTTTTTCCCATTCAAATCAACGCAACCAAAGCGAGGCTGGAAGAAAAAACAGTCTGGTTCCTTTTTGAACAAAAACCATTAACATTCAGTACTGTTATTGGATACAGGGAAGATGACTGAAATGGTGGCAGCATGATAAAGGTCTATATATGCTTCATTTTCTTAAGCACTTACATGTACAATGTAAAGACTATTTGTTTGGGGATTATTGTACACTGTAGCCTATGCGTCATCTTTCCTAATATGCTGAACAGTAGTTAGGATCCGTTCGGTATAGACCCTTTGCTTTTAACATTCATTTTTAAATCTGTAACATTTCAACATGATAAACCCAAACAAGTAGGATATTTAAATAATCATTTTTTTTTAAAACCTAAACAAATTGAAAGAGTGATTTTTTTGGTTTACAATTTTTTTTAAGGAATTTGTCACGGCTGCTGCTTGCACCTGTAATATTTTGAAGAGAAACAAATCCTGTTTTTTTTACAGGTTTCTATGGCAACAGGTCACTTATTTTGTAAGCTAAAAGCTGTTTTAGAGATGGTCTATCAGAATCTGATTTGGTTGAATCTGATAAAACAAGAATTTAAAGATAAAGACGGAGACAATGTACACGTAAAAATAAATCCCCCTGAAAGAAAAGTTGCGCGTCCAAGAAAATCTGCAATTGTGTTGAAATGCGTCAATTAAGCGTTCGGTACGGCCACCACAATTGACCGTATGATAATGATCTTTATCAGTATCTCATGGCTAGTGTTTACCCATTGACATTACAAGGATACAGAGTCAATATACACAGACATACGCACACACGGGCGAAGCCGCGCATCGACACCGCATTCCCAACAGGGCTTTATTCACCAGAGTCAAGCCAATTTATTATTTTTTTCACAACAGTTTTGCGCCTAACAATTTGGGTGTTTAATTAATAGGACTCGCAACTCCCCATGGGGTGGGGGGGGGGGTGCAATCAAATCATTAACAACATCCATGCAGCTTTGCTCCTGAATTCTTGCAGGGTAGAAAGTACCGTAGGGAAACACAATATGTGGGCTTTTGTTATGCTAATGCAGAGCCACGTTCGGCATGACTTGTAAAATAGTGCCTGAAAGTACAGTTCTCTTCTAACTATCCAAATAATGACAAAATCAAAACCCAACATGTGTCAATTTTTTTCTGTATATTGATGTAGAAAGCTGTTGCATAAATACGCATGTCATTTTGGCTCACGTTAGATTGTGCATGCATGTAGGCCTACATGTAGTGCAGAAAAAAAATTGACTTTCGTAAAATGTTGACTGAAACAAAAATGGGTACTTTTTTATTCAGTGGTGGTGGTTGAAAGAATGGCTGTTGATTTCTACAAAATTTACAGTTGGATAATGTGCATGAACAGGGTGTGTAGTAAAATGATGCAATAAAAAGATATATGACTGTGCTACTGAATGGGTCACTGATTCTGTTGGCCCTGGTTCGATACCTGTCATAATTAGGCGTCTTACCGGCACTTTAAGGTCCTTGGAGCTATGTAAAGCCACCCCAAAGCCTATATACCGGTAATACTTTTTTTTTCTTTCCAAATATGGTCCTTATTTACAGTTTTGTAAAAATTGTTCAAAAAGCTTAGTTCAAAAACAGTACACCAATTAAATGCAAAGAGGTTTTGAAAAACCACATTCTCAAAATTGTTAAACTTTTTAAAAGTACTCTCCAGAAAAAAAGTCAGAAACTATAGGGCCTACTGGTGTTTTTTATAGCATTCATCTGTTCTTGGTATTTTTTGTTTCTCATCCAAAAAGACCGTGACTGTTTTAAAAAAAAAAGTTCGATAGAGCCAGTAGTTAACGATCTCGATGTAAATCTAATTAGGTTGTGAACGAATCTCTAGATCTGTTGTCCGAGCCTGTAGCATACCGGTGTAGCGTGAATACATGTATCTGACTCCATGAAATGTGGACTCATTGGTAGTACTGCGCACGCGTGAGTACGATACTAATAGGGGTCCGATTTTCATAGGAGTCGGATTTTTATGTGACACCGGTACCTTTCACTTTTGGATTATGCCTTCAAAATCTTAAGCAGACTTGAGAGTGCAAAGTTCACGCTTCAATTATTTCTGACCGCACGACTTACATGTATACGTTCGCTTTGGTTGTGTGTAGTTTTGCACAAGCAACATTCAGCTACGGTATTTGCTTGGAACTTACCGGCGATAATAACAATATCGTTTGTGTGTGTGCGAGTTTGCCTATCATTGTCCAGCATCTTCATATTCAGTTCAAGCTTCTGTTCATGGACTTTCATGGTTGTTAACTGTCTGGGGGAAAAAGGTTTTTTGGATGTCAAAACTTTTTACAAGGAATGTGGGATTTTAGCCAACTCGCCCCATGCGAATGCCGGTGCGACCAGTTTGCTCCTTACTGCACTAGCCTTAAAGTGCTTAATAGCCGATCGTACATAGGGGCAGGACTGGCCCAATGCCAAGATTTCTCACACTTTAGTAGGACCCACTGCCTGCCCGGTGAGTCGAATGTTATACCTCATTGTAAAATGTACTTTTAAGATCTACAGGTCTTCACAAGTACAACTACCGCGCATACTGTACGGAAAGAAGCTGACAATAGATTAGCCATACAAGCTGTAGACCCCCATTTAGTACTTGCCTACTGGTAACTCTCAATTGCAAGGGCTTTTGTGGTTGAACTTCATCCCACCGCTGCCACATAAATACCAGCATTATTTAGGATAAAAGCCTCTTAAAATTGCCCCCCCCCTCTCTCTCTCTCCCCTCCAGCTTTCTTAATCCCTTAATCCTTTAAAGGCGTGTCTTAAGAGGATTAAGCTAATCACCCGGTGTGAGCTAAAACAGTAGACAAAAGCCGTGTCAAATGTTGGCCCAT